GTCAGGAAGATCCGTCTACCAGTGTGGTAAAGAAAGAACTTGGTGCTGTCTCCAAAAGGTAGTTAAGCCCAAGGGATAAGTTTTCGATTTCTCTATGTTAAACCCTTTTTCCACACTTAGGCATCCTCCGACTCTTAGTTGCTTCAGTTTTCTATTCACTGCATTAAATGATAATTCCCTGTATACATTTATGGCCTTTTAATGCCTACTGTGCCACAGCATTGCTTTGCAGTGATCTTGCAATCTCCATTCTCAGTGTGGGGTAAAAATGAGCAATAAGGAAAGAAAATGTTGCTGCAGAACAAATGCAATTGTAATTACTTCTTGCTCCTACCAGAAAAATGCCAGTAGGAGATCCATACCCTGAGGGTGATCAGACAGACAGAATGCATCTATCCTGTCTATATTGCTTGAATGGTCAAGGTAGAAACTTATTCTACATTTGAACTGCATTTTCAGTACCCATCTGATCAATTCTTTTTATTGCTGTACTCACAGTAGACAAAGATACTGGCAGCTACTGCCCATTCTCCAAGAAATGTATCCTGCAAAGTCAATAATAGAGGCAAATTTATTGCTGAAGCAATCACCTAGTGAAGGTGCTTCATTTTAGCACTGTGAAAGTTGGTATTAATGCTGGGATAAACACGACCTGTTCTGTGTGTACATGTAAGTAGGTGTATAATTTTGTTTGTAAGCACAGTATCTTCTTGGCAGGTACTCTGCAGCCAGCAATTGCCAGCTGCTAAATGTTCAAAGAAACATGATTTGAATTGTTCTCCACACTGGGAAAGTAGCCAGGAAAATGCATTTAATATAATCAGTTTAGCTGATTCAATTCTGACAGCAGAGATGTAGAAAAATTTGCTTACCTGTGAACATATTTTGGATTTTAATTTTTAGAAAGAGTGTTTAATAATAACAACTATTCTGTCTTGCATAAATGATATATCATAAAGCCAGAACAATTGAAAATTATTTGGTAAAGTTGAGCTTTCATGTGCATTTTTCTACAAGATTTTGACATTGTTATTGGCCCAATACTTCATTCTACTTTGTGTTGTTTACAGATCCAGGAAAATGTCATATAGTTTCTTTAATCCGTACAAAATATAAACACTCTTTAAAAAATGTTCTTTTCTGTGGTTAGATCTCTGACTGAACAGTACTTTTTACACAAGCCAAATGCATGATATAGTCATTTGTCAAAAAGTAGCATGAAGATTTGAAATGTCATTAATTACTGAAGCTGCTATGAAAGGCTGGTAACCACATTTCTTGTGAACACGCAACCACTGGGACACAGAATGTTCTTCCAAAAGCACCTTCTTGGTCATACAGGGCTGTGAGTGTGGCACATGAGGAAGGGGTGGATCAAAAGTCTCTGCTGGGAAACCAAAGCCTGCACTTGAGGCTATACTGTGCTAATCCCTGAACATGGAGTGCTGCTCCTGTCAGAACACCGTGTTACACCAGCCACTCTGTCTCACTTGTGACAGCCCCTAAGCATATTTTTGGCCAAGAGAGCCAGACTAGAAGTTTCTGAGACAAGATTCTCTACCCACAGAAACTGCAAGGAGTTACCTTGAAAGAACTCTGTTGCAGCACTGCAGTGGTGTGAGTTGGCACTGATGATAATCTCACCTGGTCCAGCTCAGTGTGAACTAGCATAAATCTGATTTAAATGATTACATGTGTTTCCATGCAAAAACCAATTTCACTAAGCACACAGTATTGCACCTTCTGTTACCCTGGCACAGCCCTTGTCCAGGTGATTATATCCCACCCAACCTGAAACAAAAATGGGGGCTTGCTGTTTCATAGAGGGAAACTGATGGCTGGCAGGCATGGATCTGCAGCTTTCAAGATCACGCCAGCCATACATGTCCTTGACCCAGAAAAAAAAACTTATATTCTCTTTCTAGGGATAGTAAGTGACCTTGGAAGGACTGTGGCAATGGGTCATATCAAGCCAACACTAGGTCCTTTCATCTGTTTGCTCTTGAAACATTTTGTGTGATGATTCTGAACACATATGGTACTACTGTTCCACCATGTTATGAGAGACAGCATATTAACTGTGAGCTGATAACATGCAAGGGAAGAAACAACATGGAAAAATTTGCCTAGGTTTAGTACTCACTCTGATTTTCCAGCACACAAAAATTTAAAAGTCATTGTTGGGTAATCGAGCAAAGCAAACCAGCTTCCTGGCACAATTTGCTGAAGCAAAAGTAAACTAAAGTTCTGAGCTTCACACAACTCTGGGTCCAGCTTATCCAATTCCAGCAAAACTGCATAGCTTCATGCAGCATTTCTTCCTCTGAAAGTCAGTGTTGATATTTCCTGGTGGTTTATTTCCTTCTTGTGTACCATAGAGATGTGACAGTGAAAGCTTAGTTGCAGTGTGCATGCACAGCATGGGAGTTATCTCCCCCCAACAGCAGGTCCTGTTCTTCATCACTTTATTCATAGGAAGCATTAGGAAGAATGTTAAAATGCTAAATTGTGAAGATTTACAGCAACACTTTTCTATGATAACCTTATATTTATGCTAATTGGAAACTACTTGGAGTTTCATGCTGGTCTTATAGTACTACTACACATAATCCATTTTCATTTTACGGCTTGGGAGGCACATTAGCTGTAGTTGACTGAACAGATTTTACTAGGTGATGAAGATGTCTTCCTCTAGACTCACCTTAGTTGTTTCCCCTCCTTGATGGATCTTTTCCTTTAAGTCACTTTTGGAAGCAGCACTACTGGGGAGCAGCAGGAATCCTCCTGCAAGAGATGAGGATTCATGTCAGGATGACACTGCTGAGGATTCATAGTACAACACAGGTAACACTGTCGTTTTTTTTTTTTTTTTTTTTTTTTTTTTTTTTTTTGTCTTTTTTTTTTTTTTTTTTATTTTGTGGCCTCTTTGGATCAGGCTTCAAAGCTGACCCTCAGCTCTCATTTCTAGGTGCCCTGACTTGAGTCTCAAGCTCCTGAGGGGCCGGAGTTGGCTCCTCACTCTTTTACTTCAGTCTCATTTTCTGTGCCCTACACATTATTCTCCACTCCACTCTGAAACAGGACTTGAATCACAATTTCCCAGATGCTAGAGAGTGCCTTAGCCCCTACCAAGTAGGTTTGCAGCATTCCTTTGTCTGGTTCAGGGGCTGGTTTGCTATTCAGAGCAGGCTGAGATGCCCTGGCAGGCAGAGAGCCTGGCTCTCAATCCAGGACTGCCAGTTACCAGGTGCTCTGGGCACTCAGCTGGTGAGGATGTTCTTGCTCTGACTGAGAAGAATCTGCCAATCATTCTGAAATCCTCTCTCATTGCAGCAGATGTATTACTCCATGGGAAAGTTCACATTTGAGAAGCCTCTGAGAAAAAATACTGATGTGCCTAAAGCCCTGCTCCATCCACTGACATCTCATTTCTTTCTACTCTCTTTGGTATCCTTTTCTTGAAATCTAATCTTCTCACGTTCTTGGGGAAACCTGCCTTTGGCAAAGACGTTTAATGATCCAGAGTTTCTGATGCTGACCCTAAATCAATTTTTGTAAATACTGCTGATAATCTTCCTTATCTTCTCTCAGTGCTGCTCATTGCAAACAGGACAAGTTTACTCTTTGGTTTTAAGAAAATGCCTCTTTAATTTGCAGCTAAAAGCTTGATACATAATGTCTTGCAAAAGCCCTTAACTGTGATTTTGCAATACTTTTATCAGACTTAAGTTATGAATTCTTACATTGAAACTGCTGTTTTACAGACAGAATATTGCCTAAAAAAGACACTATTAACTTATGGTGGCGGGTAATGCCAATTCCTGCAGTCTGGTCCTAGTCTTCCTTTGAACATTTGTTAGGGAAAATATGTAAAATTGGTTAATTTCTGAAGTATAATAATAGCAGCAATATTATACTGTAGTGAAGGTTATTTTGCATAACTTTAAAACATTTACAGAAGGCTCACTATTTGGTGCCTTAATACAGAAGTATCTTCCCCGTAACAATTAGTGGTTGGTGGTGCCTGCTGCAGTGGCTGCCACAGCCCTGAGGGTCTCAGTCCATGTTTGCCTTGCACAGGGCACCAGGCAGGGCCCCCACCTCGCCTGGGGTCACTCTCAGGGTGTTGGCTGAACAGCTCAGAGCTCAGCTGTGACAAGGGGACAGGCAGGGTGACAGTGTCCATGCTAATGTCTGCAGGAATTTGCACAGGGAGAACAGGGCAATGGTGAGAGCACAGAATAAATCAAAGTGTGAAAGCAACTGCAGTCAAATGTCACACCCAAGCACTCAGGGGCCTGGCATGCAGCTTGGAAATAGGTTGGGTTACCTGTCAGCGTGGCATTTTCTTTCTGTTGCTGGAGAATGTTATCTGAGGATAAAACCTAAGGAGCACAGATGGTTGTTATACACATCTGACCCTCTAAACCCTTGTTATTCCATTGACGTAAATGGGATTACTCCTATGTAAAAGATCTCAATTATATTATCTAATTCTTCCATTATTGAAGCTATCTGTTGAATACAGTTTTGTTGCTTTGTGTATGTGTGTGTGTATGTCTATATATCTGTAATTAAATAACATTATCAATGCAACAAACTTTGTCATAGCCTAACAGTACTGCAGTCACAGACGTAGGACCGTAGGATGGATATAAATTCTCACTTTTTGAGAAATTAGAAACATTATTTCTGCACTTTCTAAAAAAAAGAGATATAAACCCTCATTTGACTTTGGAATTTTCTTTGCTTGAGAATCATCAGCCCAGAATCCAACACCTGTCTGAAGTCTAATGCTTCCTTTTGTAAAAACACAGACATTGAGAACTTGTGGTTGTGGAGTAAGAAAAGTTTAAACTGTAAGAAAGAGTAAAACAGATGAAAATATAGGATCAAGCCTTCTTTGTTTTTACCTATTTTAAATTACTTTATGTATTACTGTGCAAATCTCTCAGCATTTCTTGAAATACTGTTTGTTTAAATGTAAATATTTTTTTCAGCTGTTATTTCTGTTGTCAGAAAGACCTCTACACTCTGTGAATCTCTAATGAACAAGGCCTTGCTCCATTCATTGCCTTAGGAAACAGTCCTGCTGGCTTCAGAAACATCAAAATAAGGTAAGTCACCCTCAGATGAGAATCTTGCAGCCAAGAAATTGACTCAATTGCTTAACTTTACCATGTACCTCACAAATACCACTGTCCAATCTGGTTAGAAAATGCATTTCACTTCCTTTTCTCTACTTAGAACTGAAGCCAAACCCTTGGAAATCCCTTTTATCTAGGAAAAAAATATGAGAAAATATTGAATCCCCACCCTCTTTCAGTTTAGAGGTGAAAAAATTACAATTTTTGCATGAAAGCCATGCAGTTCAGCTCTGAGCCTGGAAACTTTCAGTGGTTGTAGTAGTTAGGCATTATTGAGACCTTCTCATTTACAGTCTAGTCAAATATTTTTAATTTGAGGATACCTTTTCCCCTGGAAAACCTGAAATGTTGGAGAAGAAACTATCCCTGGCTTGGAATTTGAAGCCCTGGGTCACTGGTCATCCTTAATTTTTAAATAATTACTGGACCAGGTAGTGGCAGACTGATTGCACAGAAACCTGACATGGTTTTTGAAAACTGGATTCCTTCTAATTAAAAACACATTGTGAATTCTCTGAAAGGAAAAAAATTCATAGTATGGCTGATTTCTATTACAGCTGTTGCTGTCACACCATGGATTCAGCTAACCGAACCATTTTTTATGAATTACATTTAGTTTGAATTCTGACACTTTTAATTGAGTGAGTATTTTTTCATTATTTTACTGGAGATGGATTGCAATAAATCTGACTACAATGTTTCTGATCCACATTTTTTTTAAAAAATCAGAACCAAACCTGCAAATGTTTTGCTTATTTTTGTTCTATTTACTCCAGAATTCTCCTCCGGTAGGAACATCTTCACTAAAGGGCAAAAAATATAATGGTGTTAGTCCTAGGTTCTCACACACAAAAGCTATGAAGAAAATAACATGGAACCATTTTCACAAATAACAGACCAGCCCAGAGCTCTTAAAAAACAATGCAAGGAGACATTATACAGCTGTCCATAATGAAAAAAAGACAATTCATGTGGTTTAATTTTTTTTCTCAGAAACATTTTTGCTTCTGCTAGAATGGAGCATCATTACCCATTATCTGAAGAAGTTAATCCACAGAATTGTTTGGAGCTGATTTTCTGGAGTTCCACCTGAATATCACTACGTGTCCATGTGATTCACAGTATTCCAGAGAGTAACTTGCCTGGTGACACCGGAGGAGAGCTCTGTATGTCAAAATGAACCTGAGGCCTGATGCCATAAATATCAATATAACAGTGCCAATGAAGCACAGTACAAACAAGCTAATTCTGACATTCGTTTTGGAAGCTGTAATTTAATTCAGCCATAAATGAGCTTGGTACAAATATTAATTTGAAGTTGCTTATAGTTCTCATCTGCTGGCTAAAGCTTGCAACCAATAGGGGAAAGGTCTTGCTATACTGCTACAAATAAGTAAACAATCTTTTCTGCCAAGAAGACTCCTGTGTAAATGCAGAGTCAGGGAATAGTTTTTCAACTAATTTATCCTGCATATGGATACTGGGACACTAGAGATGCTACATAACAGTCTCTACCTACAAATATTTCCCAAAGGACAAGAGAACTTCAATTACACCTAGTTTATAATAAATCATTGCCATGGACTGCTGCTAGCCCACATTAGAGAAGCACTGTGGACAGGGTGACATCTGGGTGAGCATTCTGGCTCAGCCTTAGGAGCACAATTTCCACCTGAGATCAAAGCAAGGCAAGGTCAGAAGCTGGGAAGAGGACTTGAAGAGGACACCCAGAGTATTATTGCAACATTTTACCTGGCAGATGCCACCATATTTATTGATATGAAAATTTCCTCCCTCCATATCAGCCACTGAAACCTCCCTCTGTGGAATTATCTTTATTTTCAGCATAGCTCTATTAAAATATTTTGTTAAACTCCTGAAGTTTTACTGTGTCTAGAATGTACATTCATTATTCAGGAAAAATTATCGCTAAAGTCAGTAGGACTTTAAAGTAATGAATGATGTGTTTATTGTAGTTGGCTGCTTGGCTGGAACACATTGCATTTTTATGAGTAATTTCTGTGGACTACATATATATGTGTCCATACGTATAGATTTGTACATTTGCGTATATATGTATTTTTGATTGTGATCTTCAAACTTATGATTTTGTATCAAATATTCCTGAAGAGAACACTAAAATCAATTAACAATGGTACATCAAAAAGCTAAAAAGGAGGGCCAAAGTAAGGTATCATTGAATTAACTTTCAGATAATCCTGAAATGTGTAATAGTGTCAAGCCAAATCTGGAAAGCATTTATAAAATAATGCAGGATATAGTTGAAAAAAAGTTTAAATTTAGTTTCCTTATTTGTCTTTTAAAAATAAGATTTTGCAATACATTTCCTATAGCTTTTATCAAATAACCAGAGCCAATATAAATATGAAGGAAACGTCAATTTTAAAGGCATCTTTTGAGAGGGAAAACACTTTCAGTTTGGTATTACTTTCACAGAGAAAAACTATATTTAATTCCATCAAGCCCTGTGTTTTCAAATATTTTGTGGTTCTGGCTTAATTCCAGAAAGGGGAAAAACTTCAAAGTTAAGGATCAAGCCTAAAATATGACAAAGTTGGTAAAATTAAAGATGGTAACCTGTTGTGATAAACAGTAGGGAGGGAGTGATCTCTGACCCTGGATTTCCTTCCTTTCGCTCAAATCATAACAAAACTCAAACACAGATGAATTTCTTTTGCTATTGCAATAATATGTCTTTTTATTTTGGAAGCAAATAAAGTCTAGAATGTCTGCATATGTGTGTTGCTAATAAAACATTTCATGCCTCAGATAGCTACAAAACCTGACTCCCCTTTCCTGGGGAACTGTTCTGGGTTCTTTGTGCCTACAGGGCCTTGCAAACACCCTTCTCCTCCCTTTGGCCAGCATAGGAATGCGATCATAGTATCCAGTGACATGCAGTACAGTAGCATGTTGTTCTACCTCTAACAGGACTGCTATTTGAGAAAAGTCAAGGTCCACACATGGAAACATCATTGATAGGCCCATTGATAGAGCTTGAGAAACTGGACAATATTTTGGGCTCGAAGCCAATCACCCTTATTGCAATTTCCTGTAGCAGGACAAATCAGTGAACATGCAGGAAAGATTGAGGGGTGTGTGGAAACTACACATGTTGCTGTATCTTATAGGTTAAAAATTTTCCATTTCCATCTGTTCCTTAAAGGAAAAGTTTGTGAGCATATTTTTTCCACAAAAAAAAGTATCTGCTTTCTGTAGAAAATTAGAGCTATTCATCAGACAGCCAAACACCTGCAAGCCAAGTATTTCTGGCTGAAAGTATTGATCCTCTCAGGAGCATGGGATTTGGTGCTTCATTCCCATGCTCTCTGTGAGGGGCTCACAAGTGCCACATTTTCAGTGTCTTGTGTGGCTGAGTTTGAGTGGGACGGGAGCGCATGTGACAGCAGCACTGCTGTGGAACAGAACTGGGCTGTAGCTGATATCCCACTCCAACCCTTCTGCAAGGCCTGGAGCTGCCTGCAAGCAAGACAGGGCAGTGGGGATGCTCAAGGGCCTTGGGCTGGAAAAAAGCTCCACGATCAGGTTAAGCAGACAAAGATTCTGATACAGCACTGCAGAGAGCAGTCATATCTTCAAATACTTAAACCTACCATTTGCATGCTTAATGTTTTTTACTGTGAGTTTGCAGATGGAACCTTTGTTATTTTACTGTTATAAAACCAAATATTTTCAGATTTTCCAATTAAAAACAGATCAATAAGCTCAAATAGTTTATGGAAAGTAATGGGCCTCACTCTGCTCCAGTAAACTCAGAGACATTAATTGGGCAGTAGATTACCAAGAACAGAAGCTTGGTAATGCTTGAATTTAGATTAGAAAGAAGTTTTTTACAACAAAGGTGGCAAAACACTGGCATGGGTTGCACAGAGAGGTGCTTCATCCCTGGAAACACTCCAGGTCAGGTTGGATGGGGCTCTGAGCAGCCTGGTTTGTTGGAGAGGTCTCTGTGTATTGCAGAGGGGTGGAATAGATGGCCCTTAAAGGTCCCTTCCAACCCAAACTACTCCCTGAGTCTATAGATATTTGTTAATGGTTCCAACAACTATTTTTTTTTCAGAATTGCATTTTAGTTTTGGTCAAACTGAGTTTTGAAATACAGCTGGAAAAATAAAAAAATACTCAAGAAAAGTATTAATTTTTGCAATCCAAAATATTTAGTTTTACTTCAAAAGAATGATTTAATTTTTGGTTTTGGGCTGTTTCATGTTTTTAAAAGCTTTTTCTCTTTCCTTTTAAAATTTAGAGCAATTTAAAAATGGACAGATTAAAAGCTTGTTTTGAACGTTTTTGAAAGTGTTTTGGCAGTTCTAAAATGAACCACTCCATTTTGAAAGCACTAAAATGAAGTGCTTTGACATTTTAGATTTTTTTTCTGCATTGTTTCATCTGAGACTATTTGCTAAATTCCATTCAAATCCATGAAGAGTCTCACTAACCCTGAAATTCATTTGTGTGGTGTATTTATTATTTGTCAGACAGCAGTGGTTCATTAAACTCTGCATCAGTTCAACCTTAAATAATGGGAAAGAATTCTTAATCGGGCCATGTTTATATACAACTACCATTCTCACTTCCTTTATAATTGCTGCCCTAAGGGGCACTCAGCTGTGCAGAGCCACATTTACCCCTCTGGGAGAAGAGGTGGGAAGACAGACCTCAGGCTCTGAGCTGGTGTTCTTCCTCCTCTCCACCCAGGAGAGTATTCCTGGAGTACCCATATCTCCCCTACAGCTCACACCAGTGTTTCTGTAGCCTCTTGCTGAGCTCTGCCTTCCTCCCATCAAAGGAAAACTCTTTGCTGTTCGTGTCACTCTATGTGGTCACTGCACTTCTTATACTTTATTACCTTCTTTCTTACCTTTTTACCATTAGTGAGGGTTGGCCTGTTTATACGCCAACTGGTTTAAATGTTTCTAAAAGCCATTCACCTGCAGTAGCACTCAACAGCTGGCATGCCAACATTTTTGTCTTTTCTGGCTGCTCAGCTTCAGCAGGGCTATTCACAGCTTGCACTTTGCTAAGGTCCTTGGTATCACCCTTACACATTTCCTGTATTACATGAGGATCAGGTTCCAGTAGTTAACAAGTCGAAAAATATTCCTGGGGGAGGAGAGGAACTAGGTAGATAAGTGTGCTCCACATGTGCACTTTATTTTGGGAATTGCTGCCTTCATCCAAGTGAGAAATAATTGTGATCAAACATGGCTCTGAAACATGGTACTCCAGATCACACAGAAATGCCTTTGTACTCTGAACGTTCCAGTCCAGCAAGGCCAGAGTATGATGGGATGTCAACTGCTCAGTGCCTGAATCTATAAAAATAGTCTCTGGGTCAAACTTTGCACTACTGTAATTGGGAATAGCTCCAGTAAAATCAGTATCTCCACATTTATTCTCTTGACATTTAAAGCCAGGTTTGGCCCACTATGTGGACAGAGTCCAACTGGAAACTAGGGCCAGCCTGACTTATGGGAGAGGAGATGAGAACTGACTCTCCTGCAGTTAGTTAGCCTCAATCCTCACGTGTCTCCCAGATATAACTGTTCTGACCTCAGTGGAATTGATCCTAATTTATGCCACTGTAACTGAGATTGCAGTGTGCATTGTTTGAATTCTGTTGGGTGCGCCTTCTTCCAGATGGAAACTATTTGCAAACTATAAAAGCCTCTTTCCTAACATTGAGGCTTGCCATATCTAAAATTTTTGGTGGGGCAGGGGAGTGGAGAAAAGGATATAATGCCAACTTTGTGCTTAGTGCTACCTAGTGACATTAAATTCTGCAGTGTTCTATTAAATTATCAGTGCTAATTAGGGGATTAGAACACTTCAGTCCTCTCATCCAAATTACATAATGTGTTCCAAGATCACCCAAAAGAAAGGAGGAGGTAGCTTTAGGAAATTCAAAATGGCAACATGGTGATTCTGTGCAGGTCTTTTTTCCTATATGGGTGTTCCTGCTAATTGATTCCTCTTGCATGTGCAGCTTCTGTTTTTTCCAGCTTTACATATTACATTGCTGAAGCATTTGATGAATGGGATGCTGTGCAGCTGAAAGATCCCACGTCTCCAGTGGCTCACTTGGCGTTCTCAGACTGACTGACTGGCAGAGTTGCAGCTCTCTGACAAGGGGAATGCCTGCTTTTCTCTCAGAAGAGCAACTTTTAAGTGCACCATAAAGGCAAGATATTATACACACATATGAGTTTGTCTGTCTATATACACATGTATTTGTGTGTGGATGGATGTGTTTTTGGAGTGAAAAGCCACTCTGCCTTCCTGTAATTGCACTGGAAACGTTCAGTTTGTCAGTGTGACTTTTTTTCCCTGTTAGCAATGAAATTTGGCCAGGAGTCCTAGCGTGCCATAAGAAATCAAGCCGTGACCACATTAAGCATGAATGGCAGGGCAAGGTTAAGGCCTGTAACACTATGCTGGGGTGACCTGTTGCAGAGTTAGAGGCTGAGGTGTGAGGCTGGGTCACATAACTATTTGCAAGTGAAGCACAAAATGAAGCTCAAAGCTGCTTTGACTATTTACTCTTTCAAGAGGCGTTTAGTGAGTATTTTTTATTTTCAAAGCATATTTAGAGAATTTCAGCTGCAGGGCTTGTAGCCAACCTTCAGAAATCAAACCAGAATATTTCTTAATTTTACCTACAAGTACACTCATGGCATATTCCTACTTACTCTACTTTCAATGATTTGAAAAGCTTTTCTATAAACTCATGTACAAAGAGACTGCTGAGAAGCATCTGACGGAGACAGAGATGTTCAGCTGCAGTGAAATAAAGCACAAAATCACCCAACCAGCAACAGGAGTAGGTTGGCGGGTCTTTCCTGTGATCAGCGCTGGAGTTGTTTAGGAAGTTAGACATTCTCTTAAAGAAGAAAAAAGAGAGATGCCAGGGAATTGTTTGCAATACCTATAAACTTTCTGCCCTAAATCAGTCTCCTGAAATACTGAAATGAATGCAGATGGAAAAAAAAAAAATAAAACCAAAACAAAACTGAGACATTTTTTATTTTTAAGCCTTCTTATTAATTTGTCTTTGCCTTTTTTTTTTAATTTTTGATTTATTTTTCTTACTAAATTCTTTAGCCCAAGAGGTACATTTGAATGCAGCTTGGAAGGGAATTTGGCTCAGTACTGTAAGGCAGGCTAGGGAAGAGCCCTGTCTTAAAATAGACACAAAGCACAGTGCATGAATTGGCTTCTCAGATCCCACTGAAGCACAACCTGAACTTTGCCTTGTAGAGTAGCAAACTTGAAGAGCACAATGAAATCTTTCACCAGAACCAGGGCTGCAAAGGATCTGCTGTGTCCCACCCTTTCACAGCAACAAACAGGCTCTGGTGAAGGTCCCCCACCCTACACCAGTTTTGCCTCTAAGAGTACACACCTTTGTGTGGAGTCACTTGTGATTTATCTTTCTGTGATGAGAGGACAGTCTGGCTTTTTCATGCCTCAGTCAGTTAGAAAACTATTCAAACTTCATTGGATATCACTAAAGCTGATAGAAAATTAATATTTTGTATTTGTAAGTTGTGACTCACACTTCAGGGTAAGGTCTGACTATGCTTGAGGTGTTTGGAAGGTTTGTACTACAGGCTTATTTAATAATATAATCCAGAGCTGGATACTGGGCATGAGATTGATGGCAGCAGCCACTGCCCAGGGAAGCACCACAGTTCAGCAGACTCCTTAGGGAGCTGTGGATTGTCCCGACAGGAAAACCATCTTCTCCTATAGTGCAGAGCATTACAGAATGCCAGTTCTTGCAAGAATTTCCAGATTAGCAGCACCGTGAAGCACTTCCTGCATCCTAGAAAACCTAACATGCTGAGGATGTAAGAGGTCATTTAAGGACTGCCCTAGCATAGACCCAGCCATATCTGCTTCATTTCTGATTGCCATTAGTCCAGTCTGTTCTTAAAACCCTGGTGAGAGAGTGTCTCCATAGCTTTGCAAAGAGCAAGCTGTGTCTGGGCTGGTTCTTAGCATTACAAAGCTTTTCCTAATAATGTCCAGTACAATTCTTTTTTGCTGCCAATTGTGCCATTTTCATTTTTCTGCCAAGCTAATTCCTTCATTTTATACCAACCTTTTCTGTGTATGCAGACTGTTATCCCAGGTATCTCTTCTTCACACTAATTATCTCTAATTATTCAATCTTACCTTTTAAGCTGTGTTTTCTAGATTTCTGGTTCTTCTCAGAGCAGTCTGGTTCTTCTAACAGCAATCTGTCCTGTCATTTAACAACTTTCTGGATTTCATGTGCTCAACCTGGAGCCTGGAACTTTAGATGAAGCCTCACCCTGATTATGGGCTACGATGGCTTTTTCAGTCCCTCTTGCAGGGCTGCTTTCACCAGACATGCCAGTGACTGCTTTCAACATTTAATTGCAAGTAGCTGAGGCTACTTATAATTAAATTAATTACTTGATATAATTAAATTAATTACTTGAGGCTGAACTGATGCTAAGAGAAGCCAGACACTCATCTGGCGTAAAATTGATGCAGGGTCTCAATGTCTCTAAATACTGACTTACATTTTCAGAGCACAGTGAACAGGTTTATAAATGCCCTGGCATGACAACACCTGAGTCTCCTGAGCTGTTTCACTACAGGTGCTGCTTCTGCCAGCTGCATCTCTGTCTCAGTCTGAAGCTGCTTCACTGTTGTGATGGACATAAACACCCAGTGCATGAATGATGCATGTTTGCATAATTAATACCAATTGTTTAACCAGAAGCATTTGCTGCATGAAGTGTTAAAATCATATTGCATCCAGAAAAAAAAAACACTGCTGTGTTTTTCTGGTCTATGGATACTAGTGTTTAAAACTCTAATCAAAATATTATAATTAATGATATAAATTCTGTTAAAATGTACAAGCAGTGTGTTATATTCAAAATGCCATGAGCTCTGATCAACTACAAAATTGAGAAACATGTTTGACTGATTTAAGGCATCACAAAGTGATCATAATGTTATTGCAATTAACAATGTAATTAAGATTTACAGGTTGCATAATTCATTTCACATGTATAACGAAGTTTAATTAATAAAACTTAAGTGTGCCAATATTTTCAGAATCAAAAATGTTACTACAATGAAATTTGGATAATAACTTTTTCCTTTCTTACCATTCTTTGATGGATTGTTATTCTGCTTCCATATTTTCAGATTTCCAGATATTCTTTTTGGTTGTACTTTGCTGTAAGGGAAAAGAATGTAGTTTTTAAAAATTGCAGATCTTTAGCTGATAAACCATATTATTTTAAGTTGTTCTTCTTTTACCCACAGTGGCCATTGTACTTGCTGCTGCATGTTTTTATCTACATTTTGGCCATATATTAATTTAAGTCATTGTATATATAAAGAGCATGTTATATGCATGGTTTTCTAAGACTGAACAGATTTGGAGACAGCTGTAGTCTCATTTATGACAGTGTAACTTAGTTGGAGGATCAGCTGAAGCCTTTCAAAATGGAATGGATCAAGCAATAATTCTTATTAGAGTATATTTTACTAAAATGAAGCAACACCCTTTTCTCTTGCTATTACTGAACACGTAGCATTTGCATGAAGCAGTAGAACTCCATTGTTTTAATGATTTTCCAGTCTTATTTAATTGCATTGGTAGATCCTGTACCTTGATGTTGTGATGAAAGAAGACAGATTTGATAGATACTTACTCACAAGGGAGGTTAAAGGGCTTAAAATGTGGTCTCTGTCTGAGAGGTGACAGGGCAGATCCTTCCATGCAATCAGAACAGATAAGAGATGGCAGTGATTATTGTAACTGCTCCATGGTCTCTCCTACTGCTGTACCCAAAGTCCTTCAGTTAGAATCACTCTTCTGAGCACTGCTACTGCTTTGCACTGGCTTTGTTGCTAATACTCAATGCAAGAAAACAACACTGCAGGTGTCTTTCAATTTACTCATTGTCATGGAACTTCTGCAGGTCACACCTCACTGTGTGAGCAGTCTGAGGAACTGCTGGGAAAATAGATATTTTTATTTTTATTGTTGAAGTAGTCCTTAATGCATAAAAGGACACAGCTTACAGTATTGGGCTGTCAGACAGCAGCTCATGACTTGCATTATGTTATAGTGACAATGTCTTGGCAAATAAGATGCTGACAAATTGTTTTGCAATGAAAACATAAACTATACAGAATATTGTGCAAGGCAGACAGTATAAGGAGACACCCTTCAGTCTCCAAGGACTTCCTTTTTTTATGGCTTACCATATTTTCTCTAATATCTGTGCTGATGAGTGTCTCATTTGGGAAGTGGGATTTTTTTCCCTTCTGCCTCATGCAAAGCACCCATCAAAACTCTGAGCCCAACACCACTTGTGTTTGTCAGCTGATGCAAAGGGAGCCCAGACTGCTTTGTTACAGAGGCCAGGAGCTTTTGTAGGGCTAACACCAGGGACTGAAAGATTCTAGGTGTTCAAAGAGGTAGTTCAAGGAAGATTCAGGTTAGACCTTAGGTCTTCAGAAGTGCAGGTGGGTATATTTTTTCTGGATGTTATGGAATATTCCTCCTGGTCTTAACAAAAACCTAAAATTAAGAATTATAAATAAAATCTCCTACAAAACTTCACCATCATTAAGTTAAAAGCAAAGGCAACCTGTAAATTTGATTCACTGCTGAGAATCCAGAGGGTCTCTTACAGGCCCTCCCACTACTGCTTTTGGGGTCAGATCTTGAACTGGTGCTGAATTTCTCACTTGTGGGTGGGCTCAGCGTAGTTCATTGGTGCTGATTTGTCTTTTCCTCCCTTTGGTAGGAGTGGGGATCTAATTACTTTACAGTCCTGATAATCAACAATGCTCTGTCATTCTTGTGTTTATCAAAATTTCAGACAAAGTAATGTTTTTAAAACATGCTTAGAAATAGATTAAAAGCACTATTTATGAGATATGGCTGAGTTTCAGAGTTCAGCAATTCTGGAAAGATGTTTGTAAACAGATTAGGTATATGTCAGCAGTTTAATGTGCAAAGAAAAAAGAAATTTTTTTATTTCTGTCTTTCAAAAACAAGCAGAAAACTGGGAAAATATATTTTCTTTAGCTTGTTAAAATCTGTAATTAAATAAGCTTTCCACTAAGGTGACCTATGGAAAATACTGATTCCAAAGAAAAAAAAATAAATCTAAAAAGGTCTGAATTAGTG